AAAAGTGATTTTGTTGATACAAAATGTATTGAAATTAGAGACTTAATGGCGTTTGTTATTTTCCTGACACTAATTTGTTTGCTAAAAAAGATATCTATTCAAGTGACTGGAAAACCTTATAGAGCTTGATTTTAAGGTGTTCGAAACCGTTTCCTAATTTTCCTTGAGAGAGATTATCGAATTACTTGATATTATTTCCCCAGGAAATTGTGTCAATTTTCAATGGAGAGAAGATTTGTTTTACCGGGATAGAATCGGCTACAGTAACACTGGGTTCTATCTACTCCGAAAAACCTGGCCTTGTAATTGGTTGCCACTTGTGTTAACAAAATTGTTCAAAATCGAATTAGTGTCTACCTTGCGAATGTTTCTACTCCCTTTTTGAGCGCTCACTTTCAAGGCCGTGGGAGCGGATCCAGGATGATGTGTTTGTGTGTGGTTCTGGCTCTTAACGTCATAGGGGAACTAGTGGGTTACGCGCAACTAGTAAGTCAGATGTCCCACCTTTTAGATGATCTTGTTACAGTATTTGGGGATTTGCTCCCAGAACATTAGAATTGAGTGCTGAGAGAGGTGTGTCAAAACTCCTTTCGAGATATCCAAACTGTTGAATTTCAGTTAAAACACAGGGGGAGGGGGGGGGGGGCATGTGTTTAAGGGGCGACACTAACTGAGACATGAAAACTATTGTACGTTATATGAAGAGATGGTTAAGGCTCTCCTTCCATTTGCTTTGTGGGTGGTTGGTGGGTGCCCTGGTGTGGTTTGCTCCTTTTCCCTATCAAACACCTATCGCCCTGATCTTTCCTCGTTCTTTTTTATATTTGTTACTTTCTTGTGACATCTAATCTTCGGCATTCATATGACTTATGATGCAAGAGCTATAAAACTTAATTAAAGTAAAAACTAAACCATTTGCTTTAATCCCATTGTAGACAGTCGATAAAATAGAACACCCTGCCTCTTAGATAGCCTTACAGTATTTATAGATGGGCGTTAAACTAACACTGTGTGTTCCTCAGACTCACAATGGAATTCGCTTGAAACGGAGCATGCCCGTAGAAGTGCGAGGTTTGGGATTTCTCACTCTGAGAAATGAGTATGTAACTAGCTAAGATACCACCAAACGATGATACACCGATTATAACGGAAATAGCCGAATCATGCGAGATGAAAATCAAGTAATTTATGGTTTTCTGTTAAGGCACCTCTGTCATAAACAAAATAAAACTACGCCGTCGCCCCAAAAGTGATTTCTAGCTACTTTGTAAGCACTTTCAGTCTCTGTAATGTCAGGTACAATACGTGTAAATCAAATTGAATTTGCCGGAACTTAAAATTTAAAAAAACACCCAACTTTCTTTTCATTTTTAGTTGTGTGTCACCCTCACAGTCGTGAAGTAGTAGCAAGCTGCAGGATCCTGTTTCTTTAAGCGGTGTGTGTGTGGCGCGCGATTCGAGGATGGGTTGGGAAAAGAAAAAATGTCTGGAACCCTGGCAGGGCGCGTGCAGGAGACCGACTGTGATTTAGTAGTTCAGCCTTTTCAAAATCTGACTGTCTGCTTCGCTGCGTTTGTCTTCTCTCTCTCTCTCTCTCTCT